CCGTGCCCTAACGGCCTGGTCGTCGTCCAAGCCTCGTCGAACGTCGACTGCAAATTTTTAGGGATTCCGTCCGCCATAGCTGAGCTTCAAACACAACTTTTTAAACAACAAATCCCCACAGACGGCGCCAATAATGCAAGTGTAAGCGTCTGGGCCCGGTTTGGAATAGATCAGTTCTGGTCCTTGCCGGAAGAACGCCGGAAACCTGCAAACAACTCTCACACTGGGGGTTGTGTCCGGTGAAGAGCCTCCGATGCTTAAGTCAGTATGTGTATGAGTATACTGGAATTTAGAGAATAAATAGAATGTGTTAAGGAAGAAAGGCTCACCCCCCTTTATATAGGGGTGAGATACCTGCCCTAATAGCTGCCCGGATAAGGCTACGTGGGCTGCCCAATCTGCCCGTCCGTACTCTGATACACCGCGCACATGTCAGAGGTGCCGCGGGACGTTGGGCGCTGTCAGAGGTGGTTATCGCTATCACCCAATATATTGTCGACACGTGTCCACCCAGCACATGGGGTAAATATTCTCCTGAAGCTCAGTCAGAGATCCTCACGCGCGTCTGCTATGCACGCGTCTGGGTTTATGTCGGTCAGCTTGCTCGATCACTCAGCTTGTTCGATCACTCATCTGATCGATTGATGGGTAGCTCAACCGGCTCTGATCGAGCATCGGGTCGCTCGATCGCCTGCGCAGTCGAGCCTTGGGTTGTTCGATCGCTTGTGTGGTCGAGTCTTAGGCTGCTCGATCACTTGGATTCCCGCCTTTCGGCCTGATTTGCTCCCGGTCTGCTCTTCCCAACCGGCTCACCAAATCGGTTCGTCTTTATACAGATAATATCCTATATCATAGGCCATACCGAACCATTTTAGACCTTAGCCGAGGTTTCTCGGAACTTGTGTTTATTGTTAAGTTATTCGAGTTGTTTTGAATTGATTAACGTTGCATGTCTCAGAGTAAGTCGTCGGACAGCCGATAGGATTAGTCGGAGTCGCGGGCCACGCACATAGCGCGCACCATGGCGGCAATAGAATTCAGAGGTTAAGTGACCTCGACCTCGCGCATACGGCTAGTCATGTGTCGCATAGTCACGATGCAAGCCGATAGCGCCCAGTCAATGCGCGCTTAGTCGCGCGACGCGCGTGAGTGTAGTGCATGACGACAGTACTCGGCAGCGCCACTCGGCAGCGCCACACAGTCCACGTGTGTACCTGGCGCCAGTAGCGGCCAACGAGTGCAGGCAGTGCCCGGTAGCGCCTAGCCAGCCTCGCCGCACATAGTTGTTGTTGTTATATACTTAAGATTTGCTTTAGTGGATATTACACTTTTTATTTCTTGATGAATGAGAATTATGTTTGGTTAAATAAGTTCCACGTTCTGTTGTTTTGCATGTAGATAAGTGGGTCGTCATTGGGCGTACCGAAGATCACTATATCAGTTACTTGTGAAATAAGAATCATTGGTTCACAACCTAGATGGAATTGAACAACGCATTGGAATGGTTGAAGTGACAACTGTACGGTTTGTCTTGACCGATTAGTTGCACTAGTACATTTATGTATTGAACAGGATCCCAAAGAGGGATGTTCGTTTTATACACTGATCGTCGTAAACGAACTAGGCCTCAGTTAATTATTGCATGTTCTTAACCTGTAAGATATTAAATAGGCATGTGCACATATTTGTTATTGCTTTGATTCTTTGGGTGAGATCCAAGCCGGGTCGACATACTTAATGAATTGGGTAATGACATTATGTGTTCGATGTGCTATTAGGATATTTACGGTCACCATGTGCGTTAGTATGATGATGTCCCCGAAGTGAGTTCATGAAGGAATATTATGCTAAACCCTGCAGGTGGATTTATTCCGGCATAATATGAATGCTATGAGCGAGCGCTAGCTTCGGTAATATAATATATTAATTCTTTCTTGATTATTAGTGATCGAATTAATTAATGGACATTATATCTTAAACATGGGGAGGTAAATCGGATAATTATAATAAGGAGTCTCAAATGTAATTTGGGATAGGTGAGGGGAGTTCAATAATATTATTGTGGTGGACTTTAATATTATTAATATATTAATTGTGGGGTTGCTCCACAGTATTAATATATTAGAAGCCCTTATCCTATTCTCCTTAGAGTCCCTACCGTAGCTCTATATATACAGCATCAGGCTCTTGGAAGAGAAGAGACAATCCCATCAGCTCTATATTTCGTCTGCCCCTCTCTCTCTCTCTCTCTTTCCAAGGAGTTCTTCTATTTCTTTTGTTCCA